TATGTGTTTAATAAAGTAACTTGACATCTAGTTGCAAAGTTATAAAAGAGTTACATAAATCAAGAACAATATTTATTTGATGTTCTTAACTGCCTCATTTTCCAAAAATGATTAACACAAAATTTACTGGTACGGTCTGATAGGTGAAGAACAACCTGAAAATGTAATAAAAATTTTAACAAAATAAAAGTAGTTTACATTTTTAGACAATCTAATCGATAATTATCTAGGTCAAAGGTTTTTTGATTCCATAACAATGTAATTTATTACACATTAGCGGTTAGATATATTGAAAATAAAAGCACTTAATGTATTTAATCAATTAGTTTAGAAGTCATCATCCTGTGAAACATGTCAATATCAGTTTAGACAAAATTATTAAAAAATATAAAATTTGACTTGTTAAAGTAAATCGTTATTTAATTACAAGCATATGATAAATTATATATTTGTATGATTTTGAATGAATATTATTAATGTTAATTGTAAATGAATGATTATTTAAACAGTTACATTATCGAACTCAAAATAAATAAAATTTATATATGTAAACAGTTGCTAGAAATGGGTGTTACGTGCGCCCCTGAACCAAATATTTATTAAGTATACCTAGTAGATATACTTCTTTGGCTTCCCTGGCTTCACTTCACTTCTGAAAACAAATAAAATTTATATATGTAAATGACTGTTGAAAACGCACGTCACGGGCACCCCTAACTTATCTAGTGCTTAAATAATAATAAATGCGTGTAAAAAAAGTCTAAATACTATAAAATACAATAGCTATTAGACTTTGAAATAGTAATACAATACATCAATGTACTTATTGTAATTTTTTTATCCCAGCAATACAATACAATAGTTACTGTAACCATTTTTATTCACAGGAATACAATAACCATAAATAATGCTTTAATTGCATCTCTGTTATTGCAATACAAAATTGTTGTATTGTTATTGTTATTGTATTTAATTTTTACAATAACAATAACAATAGTCCTAACCCTATATGTTTATATATATATATATATATATATATATATATATATATATATATATATATATATATATATATATATATATATATATATATATATATATATATATTATTTATATTGTAAAAATAAAGAAAATCGAATTTAATGAAAATTTAATTTTGAATAATATTGAATACAACGTCTTGCCAATTAAAGTTCAACGAACTAACGTAAATACAACGTTGTGCCAACTTAAAATACAACGTTGAAACAACGTAAAAATACAATGTTGTGCAAACTAAAAATACAACTTTGGCCCAACGTATAAAAGAAAATGTTGAATTAACGTAGAAAATATAGCCATTTTCGATATTTATATAAAAGTTTTATCAACATTGGTTTTTAGTTGTTGACGACGTCGCATTTGTAACCATAATGATTTAAATTAATGATTGTCGTTTGATATGTTAACAATCGCCGAAGATTTTATTTAAATTATATAATTTCGCAATAGCTATGTTTGGACGCGTACATTGAGTCTATATTATGCTTAGTTCGTAAAAACCTTTTGCAATGCATTTACATACATTGGATTTATATACATTGATTTATATACATTGAATCAACGTCAAGATATATATATTGGATCAGCGTTGGGTTTAGATCGTAAAAACAACCAACTTTTTACAATGTTTTTACAATCATTGGACTAATGTTGATTTGCCAGATATTTTTAGTTGCGTCGGTAATAACTTTAACAATAATTAAACGACATTGGATAAACGTTGGTTTTGCCTTGGAAAAAAGAGCTGGCGTTTGTAATGGTTTTACATACGTTGGCCCAATGGAAGTGTGCTAGCTGGGATATAATAGACTAGAAGGAAAAACGAAGTTAATGTACGTCGTTTCTTAAGAAACAGTCTTAGCAGTATTATAATTTTCTATTAAACACCGCGTAGTTATCATAATTTAAATTTAACCAACCAAATTCCACTTTTAACAAAAATTAACAAATAATACTGTTTTAAAACGCCATTAGCATTTGAAGCATTGCAAATAAAGAAGGAAGCTTAAAAAATTCGTAAACAATATTTAGAGTTAGTTTAATGTTATTTTTTTATGGTGTGCTTTTTGAACGACTAATAATAATTTTCTAGATTAAAATTGAATAAATAAAAATCTAAATAAAAGTTGCTAATAATTTGTTGGTTTTAAAAAAAGGCCTTTAATATCTTTATATTTCATATATAATAATTTGTTTTTAAATCCTGCTAAAATACTGCATCACAAAATAAAAGATAGAAATATAATAAGTTTCTTGCCAATAAACATTCTTTCACAGTGGCAGAAAGACCGTGTCCAACAACGTTTACAATGCAATTTTTGGACCTTATCTAAAAGAGAAAGAGCATCATTAAAAGAAGCAGCCCAAATATGATAACAGTATTCCATACAGGGAATCAGGAGAGAGTAACCATAATAAAGAGAAGTAATCTTAGCAGATGCTAGTTTAGCAATCGATTGTATATATTGTTTCCATGAAAGGTCAATAGTAATTGATAATCCAAGAATATGTAAAGAAGAGGACTCAGTGAGAGGGTTGCCATTCACCAATATAAGAATGTCAACCGTACTGCTA